CACGGCGCGACCTGGATTGATAAAATTACTATTACATGCAGCTATCATGCCAGTGATTTCTCCTTTTGTCACATAGTGAATAGTTTGTGAGCACATCCTCAACTCTCGAAACATTTGTCTTGCGCCGCTATAGAAGTTGCTTCTCCCGCGAACCATAGGTAGATTTCCCGCTTAACATAATGTTTGATAATTTATGCAAAAGTTGACCTCGTGAAAGTCAGCAGTGCATTAATTGACTCAAAAATAAACAGACTTCCTACAGGATTTTGAACTCGGTTTTAATTAAAGTACTTTACGAGCGCTGCGGTAGTTGACCGCAAAAGTGTTACGGTGATGGATACTCAACTGGATGATTACGTCACTTCATAGCAACCAGACGGTACGAATTTTTTAACTTCCGGAGCGCTGAGGCTCGTAGTGGTAAAAACTGACAAAATAATTCTTGTAAATCGAACTGGCATGAGACTGCTTAGTTTTTGTAGATATAACAAATGGAAGTTGGAAAGTCAAGGTAAAAACTTAGTCTCGTGGTACAATTTGACATTTGCCGTTTTCCTGTAAACGTGATTCAAAAGACAGATTTTAAAAGATTCACGTTTACGCCAAGGGCAAACGTGAATTTGTACCACGTGATCAAGTTTGTCCCTTAGTTGTCGTTTATTCTTTATTACTTCTACTCAAAAATAAGTAGTTTCACGCCCGTTTTATCCATAAGAATTTTTCTGGACAGTTTTTATCTGCTTATTTTCTATTCTGAGAAATTCTCAACTTGAGTCTGACGTTTGCCGTTTGCGGTAAACGTGAATCTTAATCCGTTTAAAGTCTCTCTATTGCTTACGCAATTTTGTTAGGGGGAGGAGAACAGGGGAGGAGAGGGCAAACAAGTAGTATTGTGGGAGATGTGCAAATGATACAAAAGCTCCATGCAGGGGTGCGCTTCTAGGCACTAAAGCATTTTTGAACCATACCGTTGACCAGCAGTAAGGGGCCCATTTCATTTTATTGGTTACTTTGAGCTTGCGCGTAAAACTACGTCGGTGTTGTGTTGCATTTCACCATGGGATTGTTCTGGGAACGCTGTCGCTTCTTTTATTGGTCATTAGGAGGTTACACATAGGAGACTGGGTCCCGAAATAGTCCCGTAATAACGGAGTTTTAGCATCGACGACGGCTACGACAGCGAAATCGTCACTTTTAAAATGACTTAGCGTTTGTCAAACTTTATCGCGTTAATTCCAATTCACTGAAAATGTCTTATGTAGGTAAATTTCCCTGGAGTTGATTTCTTGCCGGGACCCACTCAAGTTTAGAAAGAGAAAGAAAATTTCCCTGTCCCTTGTTTACGTCCTCCATAAAACGTGAAATTAGGCACTTTCACGTCGTAGTCGTGGAGCAACAACAACAACAACAACAACAATGTATTTATTTAAAGAAATAAAAAGTTTACAATACTTTATGTCCTGCAAATAGCTATAATGCTAATCTAGGCAGGACAAGACTTTAGATATAAAGATGTTATTAAATTACATAAGAAAAAAGAAAAGAAAAGAAATACAAAAACATACAGAAAGAAACACCTTACATAAAAATTCAAGTACAGGGGATTTTGTTATTTGAAAAAGACTAAAATTACAACTGGAGGTATATACAACATATCAGGTTAACTTCACAAAATATTCTATTAAATAATTAACATTCAAATAATTATCTTCATTACCTAGGACATTGAGGAGTAGTGATTTAATTTTTTTACGAAAATTAGATAGTTGAGAGTCTTAACAGACAGTGGAATAGAATTCCAAATAGAAACACCAATTCTAGTAAAAGATTCTTTCAGTTCTAGAGAATTTGACAGAGAAACATCCTTTTGCCGATAATCGCGTATTATAATGATGTTTTGTGTTGATTTTCGCAAACTTATCGAAAAGACTTTTAGGAGCTGTCTTAGCATGAACGTCATACATTAAATAGCTTAACTGTTGAAAGAACAAAGACTGCAAAGGAAGGCAGTTTGATTCAATAAAAAAGATATTGCATGGTCTCTGGGTTTAGAAAAATAAATCAACGCAGTGCACGTTTTTGCAGAACAAGTATCTTGTTGAGGTAGGTCTGTGGACAGTTGCCCCATGCACAGATACCATAATTTAAATAAGGAGCAATAAGTGCATGATACAAATTCAAAAGAAGATGCCTTGGAATGTAATGCCTCATTTTAGCAATTATTCCAACCGATCTACTAATTTTGTGACAGATAAAGTCAATATGATGCTTCCATGATAGTTCAGAATCAATCATTATACCCAAAATTTTTAACAAAGTCCTTCATCTCTAGAATTACTCGAGTATTTAAAGTTGGATTAAAAATCTTAATTTGAGGAATGAAAGGTATTCTTTTTTGGCGCGGACGAAAAATTACATAATTAGACTTTTTGACGTTGAGCGTTAGTTTGTTAGCATTAAGCCATTCACTTACTATCTCAAGCTCATTGTTGACAGTTAGTTCAAGAGTACGTAAGTTGTCATTTGCATGGGTTACACTTGTATCATCTGCGAATAGATAAAAAGTAAATTCCTTGGAAGATTTGTGGATGTCATTAATATATAACAAAAATAACAAGGGTCCAAGTACAGAGCCATGAGGCACTCCACATACGATCGTTTCAGTTTCAGATATGCATTTGTCTATTTCAATCGACTGTCGGCGATCTGAAAGATATGATCTAAACCAAGAATTTATAACTCCTCTTATTCCATAGTGTTCAAGTTTTGTCAAAAGAATCTCATGGTTAACAGTATCAAATGCTTTCTTAAGATCTATAAAAATTCCACATGAGTACTTTCTATTGTCCAGATTAGAATGTATGGTGTTCACAAAATCAAGAATCGCGTGCTGGGTACTATGTTTATTGCGAAAGCCATATTGTAAATCATAACGAATATTGTCCTTGTCTATAAACTTTATCAATCTATAAAAGTTTCTCAAATAAACGATTATAAATTTATAACAAAGAAATTGGCCAATAGTTTTCAGGTAACGTCTCGTCTTCACCCTTATACACTGGAATTACTTTTGCATATTTAAGTTTGGCCGGGTAAACCCCAGTTAGTACAGACTGGTTAAAAATTTCGGTTAATGGTATGGATATGACTGATTTAGCAAGTTTTAACAGTTTAACAGGGGTAGAATATTGCCCCGGGGCTTTATTGTAGGGCAACGAGCTAATTTTTGTTTCAATTTCTTGTGGTATAATTGGATCAAAATAAAAACTGTTCTGTAAAGGTGGATCAAGATAATCAGAAAAAGTAGTGTTAACTTCAGGAATATCGGTTGCAAGTTGATGCCCTATTGATGAGAAGTATTTGTTGAGTGTTTTACCAATCGTTTTACGATCATCTGATAAAACGCTATGCCCGTTAGAACGAGTATTTTCGATATTTTCCTTTTCTTCGCATCTCCCAATATTTCGTTAATACCTTTCCATGTCGATCGTGTATTTTCTATGTTAGAGTCGAAAAACCTTTGATAGTGACGTTGTTTACTCAATGGAATAAGGGTTGTTAACTTATTTCTATATATTTTATATTTCGGCCAGTTTGATCCAAAGAACAATTTATTCTTCACTTTTATAGATTTGCTTAGTCCAGCAGTTAGCCAAGGTTTAGTAAACATTTGTAGTTTTCTCACTGAAGCATCCCTGAGCGGTGCATGTTTATTAACTACATGATTTATGGTTTTATAAAGGTGAGAGGACGACTTGGTCACGTCGCAATTACTAGAAACCTCTTCCCAATTAATTGCACTTAGCTCATTCATGAATTTATTAGCATTAAAGCTGGAATAATCCCTAAATTTAGTCTTTTTTGTATTTGTTAATTTTTGCTTGCTTACATTGACAATATACAGACTTGCGAAAAACGATCGGTTGTATCGGTGACGATATTGCCACTAGAAATATTATTCGTCAGGTTATTTGTGAAGATATTGTCAATTAAAGTCGCTGAAGACCCATACACTCTTGTTGGTTTATCAATTGTAGGAAGCATAGAAAAACTTTGCATACACTGAAGCAGTGTCTGGCTGTATTTACAGTTTTCTTATTTTAGCAAGTCTATATTGAAATCTCCCATGAGATATATATCATTATTATGATTACTGAGATACTCGAGGGAATCCGAAAGATAGTCAAGATATTGGTCTACATTATTATGTTGTCGGTAAACAATGCCACAGATATTTTTCTTGTGATTTGGTAGTAAAATTTCAATCCACAGTGCTTGAGAAGAGGAATTAGTAGAGCGTTCTAAGACTCGATATCTATAGTTTTCATTAATAAAAAGACCAACACCACCGGCAGACAACGGGGTTTTAACAAATTCAATGCAATAGACCTTTTCGGCTAACTCAGTGTTGTACCCAATTTAAATCTCCCAGGTTAAGATTCTTTGTGTACTGTATTTGCATTATAATGTGGCATTCACATTTAAATGATATAGAAATTCCTGAAACAAAACGTTTTATTCCCAAAGGGTTTGAATTGGGTATAACATTGAGTTAGCCGAAAAGGTATATAGCCAGGTTACATGGGTTGTGGTATAAAATCAATAGATTCGCCTTCGCATAATCGCGTTTCTATTACACCTAATAACGTGAAATTATGTTTTACCTCACTGAGTATGTGACATTGAAAATGTTCAATATTTTTTCTTAAGCTTCTTATATTAGTGTGAAGAATAGAGAAATCGGATACGACATCCCTATTTGTGGTATTTTCAAACTTCACGGGAGAAGCTATGAGGCGAATAGTAGCTCGAGCGAATTTTACTCGTTGTCATTAAGTTAGCATCAGGATCAATCGCTTTATCTAATGAATCGTTCTGAAAAAGACCAAGATCATACAAGCTATTAAATGAATGGATCGATTTCCTGGAGGCTAGATTAGTGTCCAGTAAAGCGCGATACTGCGGGTGGGCATTTTTCTGATCTTTACAGTTATAATATGGCAATTCCATCAACAGCAATTTGTTTTCTTTAGCGAGATTTTTCTTCTCT